GGAAACATAAAACTTTTCTACTTAACCGTGGAGCCATGATGCGTTTTTCGTTGCTCATATAATGAATGTGTGATTTGATTTGCCCTCCGTTTGCCTTTCTGCCCCCTCTGTCCTGCAGTATGTTCCTCCAGACATGTGCATTTGTAACTTTGTGCTGGAGCAGTCGCTGTCGGTCCGCGCCCTGCAGGAGATGCTGGCTAACACCGGAACGAGCAGCGAAGGGGTGAGTACGATCTTCAAACTTTATGCGCAGTGTTAATATACACACAAAAACGTTCAGTGACCTTTAACCTTTTCACATTTTCTCCTGGTACAACCACAAATTTAAATAAAAGTGGTGCAAATGTTGCAAAGTTTAGGGAAAATGGTGCGTTGTTTTCCAACCTTATTTCATAAAGTTCTGAAAAGTATGGTGCGCACATGTTTTCAGCCAAATTTACTCTAATACCCATAATAAAAACACAGCGTTGCCCAGTAGCACCTGCAGCTGTACGGCTGGACACACTGAGTATACCTTGAGATTTTCCTTTTTGATTTTGTGTGAATTTCCACAATAATTCAATAAAACTGGAGGGATTGATTGATATAATTTGGCAGTAAACGGATAAAAATTGCATTGATTTGATTGATAACATGATATTAAAGAACACTTAGTGTTTAGTCTAGAATCTAGAGGACCACATAAAAAGCTGTGGTGGACCGGATTTAGCCCATGGGCCTCGAGTTTGACATGTGGTGTACACAGTTCTGGTGGAGTTGCCAATTTAACAGCTTGTTTTCCTTGTGGTTTTGTGAACTGAAGAACTGACAGGTCTCCTGATTGGCCGACCGTGACATCTGCTGCACTGTTCCTGAGCGTCGTGCTAAGATTGCGGGCTAAACAATTAAATTTAGTCAAAACGTTTGCCAAAAGAGGAGAAATTAAGCAAATACTGTTGCTTCACCTTCTTCTCCTCTGGACATCTGACACACCACCTGAACCTGGGAATCTCCATCCTCCTCCTCCTGTGGATCACACGGCTCGACTTTGCTTTCCTGTCTATTTTATTACTCATGATACATGTTGGAGATGTGGTTGTGCTCTTGTGGGTCAGGCGCAGTGATAGTATTGTGCGTACCCTCCTATAATAACCTGGGGGCGCTGTCAATTGCCTTCCAACATTACCTAATTAGTAATTAGAATTGTGGTTCTAAAGAGAGGAAAACTAACAGTTCACATTATTTTGCAGCAACATGCTTTTCTTGACAGGAAGAGGGAAGAAAAACTGAGTTGGTGGGAAGATGGATGAATTTAAATGTAAGGAAATCCTGATGGAAAACTTGAATTGATTTTATTTAAATGGGACAGTTCATATCTACACACACAATATACCAGATTCAGCTAAATGCTCATTTCCATCTGTAGTTTGCTTGAAGCTGAAAGAGACTAACAGGAGAACGATCCTGAACATACAGTCAGAGCTGCAATGGAATGGTTTAGATCACAGCATATTCATGTTTTAGAGCGGCCTAGTCTAAGCCCAGACCTCCAAACGAAGTTTAGCTATTTTTGCACAAATTAGAGTCCATCCATCCATTTTCTTTACACCCTTGTCCAAAGTGGGATCGGGAGGGGTGCTGGTGCCTATCTCCAGCTATCGTTCCGGGCGAGAGGCGGGGTACATCCTGGACAGGTCGCCAGTCTGTCAAAAAAACTGACATGTTTTTGGAGGAAACCGGAGTACCCGGAGAAAACCCAGCATGCACAGGGAGAACATGCAAACTACATGCAGAAAGACCGGGGCCGGGAATCGAACCCAGAGCCTTCTTGCTGCAAGGCAACAGCTCTACCAACTGTGCCACTGTGGAGCCCCAAATTGGAGTCATCCACAAAAAATATCCGCCAAAGTAACTGCAGCAAATGTTATCTGCCAAGTTTGGGCTTTTGGAGGCCAAATGTGCACACCACACTGTTCAGTTTTCTATGCGTAAGAATGTCTAAAAAACATTTATATTTTTCATTTTGTGCCACTTTGTGTCTGTCAATATTAAAATTTGTGGTTGTAAAAATAGATTAATGGGTATCAAAACTGTTGCCAATAAATCTACGAGAAATTAGTTTTTCCTTCCTCACAGGCCAAGTTATGAGTTTAATCATCTGTTTTTTTGTCCTCTTTACAGTAATCAAAGAAATTTTACTGAAAGCATTCAGAAGTAAACTCTTTCAGGCAGAGAAAATAAAATTGTGGAAGTGAAAATGTTCTGATTCTGCAAAAAGAACCTTTGCCGAATGTCTCAGCGATATTTTGAGTCCTTCAAATCTGGGCCAAGATCTGCCTTGATTCCTGTCCAAAAACAATCTTTAAAATGCTGTCGCACATTCACAAATTTATATTTCAAGTGTCAGAAAATGAAGATATGAAGTAATTTTATTATGTGCCAATATATATTCAAGACGGGACAAAAAAATGACTGTTTAGCATCAAACTTCCAAACTTTTTCTGAGTTTTACACTTACAAAGTCTCAGCGTATATTATCTTTCAAAAAGATTTTTAATAGATGATGTTTTTCAATATTTAATTGTATTTAAACTATTTTTTTATTTGTTTCAGAGACTAAATTAGCTTTGTCTTTAAACCTGTTCCTGACATTATGTGTAATGTGCTCTAAAAATTTTAATCAAATGGAAAGGATAATTAAAAATTCAATAAACATCAGATAAACGGTGCACATTTTTTATGAATTTACTGAAATATCCAGCAGACAGGAACTACTGTTTGGCAAACTTCTGAAATGCCTCCTTAGAAATCATGTTGTTGGCGCTTAAATACAGTTTTCTGCTTGTCAATGAATAATATTTTATATTTTACATTAAATCTGCTAAAGAAAGTGGAGCAGAATGTCTTCAATTCAGTTTTCTTATAAAAGGCAAATGGAAAAAAAAACTGTGTTATCATAAGGTAATATACAATATGAATGAATAAAACAATTCTTGGTCCAAATTCAGTTCAACTCAGTCCAATAATGTAGATACAGATTGTATCTCTAATGCTTTTTGATAAGGTATTAATTAGGGAAGTTCACAAGCAAGTATGTGGCTACAGTGGAGAGAAACCAATCTCTCTAAACAGCCAACTTCCAAAGAAAACCTTTTAAAAATATTTAAAAAGCCTGAAGAATATGGGGAATTTTCCTCCCATAATCCAAGAGCACATTTTCAGTTTGAAAGCAGGAGTTCGGACTGAAAATCCTGCTTATATTTTCTTTCAAAAATATTTTTAATATATGATGTTTTTCAATACTTAATTGTATTTAAACCATTTGTTTATTTGTTTCAGAGATGAAACAAATAAAACTTTTGTTTTTAAAACTTTAAATACTCGTACTTACATTTTCAGTTTGAAAGCAGGATTTCATGTCTTTCTTCTAAAACTTGCAATTCTTGTACTCCAAGCTTCTGCTCTCTTTCAAATATTCACTCTGCTCTCTTAAACCTTTCTCCTCACGCTCAACACTTGTCTCTGCTCAGATCAAATCTCTGCTTGCAAGCCTTGCAAGCCTCTCTGCTCGCTTGTGAAACATTTTCTGCTCACTTGGAACAAAGAGGTACCATCGCCTGGCAACCTCTCAGCCAATAGAATACAAGTGTTCTACTGGGTGCGTTTGTTTCCTTCTAGTGGGCGTGCCTGTGTGGCTACTGTCGATTGCATCAACCTGCGCCACCCACTATCTATATCTTCCTGTCAATAGATAGAAAGATTCAGATCGAAAATGTGTGCTCTCGAATTATGGCAGAAAAATTCCCCCATAGAAGACAATCTGTTCATGAGTAGAAAAAACTTTAAATAAGAAAATGAGCTAATTGGATTTATACATTTTGCACAATGCTGTCCCTCTAGTTTACATAAAAATTAAACATTTTGAGTAATTGTCATTCAGCGGGTGAAAACTTGATTTTGTGTACTTGTAGTCAACATATTCTCTGCATTATTTAAGGCTTCCCGAAGCATTTTGAAAGGTTTTGATAAATTAAAATGCACTAACTTCAAAACAAACGAGGGAAATATTTTTTGGGGTTCACTGTTGCACCCTCTGCATCCTTGGTTTAAACTGAAAAGCTCAGACTCGTTTCTCTCGGCTCTGCTTGAGCCCACTCAGCATGTTTAGGTAATCTTGGATCCTGTGGATTCTCTGCTCTTCCCACAGAAGTGCGACTGAAAACAACCAGCTTCCTACTGTTAAATATGTTGTGTGAAAATTCTGATTGCTTAGAAAAATTCTGTGAAAATCAGTAAAAGTCAGTCAAACCTTTTGTATAATGCTAAACAGTTCTATAAAAACCCTGATATTATCTGATTAATTAGTCGCTGCTTTACTATTTTAGGTTAAATGAGTTTGCTTTGATTAGACAGATGATTAGACTGCTTTATTTTCACAACCACAAATATTTCCAATCAGCCAAATTGCTCTTTCTTGTAGATGAAATGAAAGGATAATATGCTGCTTTGCACAGAAACAGGTGGGGGAAGGGTGGGCTCATATACAGCTCTGGAAAAAATTAAGAGACCACTTAAAATGATCTGTTTCTCTGATTTTTCTTTATATAGGTTTATGTTTGAGTAAAATTAACATTGTTTTTTATTCTATGAGCTACTGACATGTCTCTGAAAAAAATTTAGTTTTTATTTGCAGAAAATAAAAAGATGCAGAGATTTCAGACTTCAAATAATTGAAAGAAAACAAGTTCATATTCATTTAGAAACAGCAATACTAATGTTTTAACTCAGGAAGAGTTCAGAAATATTAATATTTAGAGGAATAACCAGGAGGTTTTCAATGGGGTTCACTGCAGTGGGCTCTTCATTTTCTCCAGAGCTGTAGCTTAAAAAAATATGAAATAAAATCTTTAAATAGAAAATGAATGATTGAAATGAAGGCGGAAATCATGAGATGGGAATTTTAAATTTAAAAACAAAGAGAAAACAATGCTTACTTCTTATACGAGCTGATATTATTTGGAATAAGTTGCTTGGTACTGCTTGACGGAAAAAAAGTCACATTTCCTTCTGGATACACGTGGTCTGATTTAATTTACGAAGCAATCCCTCGAAATAACCCCAAATTGTTATTGGATATTTTAACGAGACCACTGGTATTCCAGGAATAAATCGTCTAAATCGGCAAACGTTGTTGTGAAACACAGATGTGGAAAGTGCAGCACCTTAATTGGGTACAAAAACAAAAACAAACCCTGCAATATTTTCATAAAAAAAGAAAAGTTGCAGGTTGTTCTGGGTTACAGTAACCACATTTGTCCTTTCATGTACAACATCGCCCTCTGGCACAGACAGTTCTTTAAGTATTTTATTTTGTACAGCGCTTCGCCGGGGAGTTGGACCTGCATTGTTATTAGCCTGGGTAGCAGATTTGCTTTGTGCTCCACAGTGCAACACTGTTGGCTGGCCTTGTTTGGCAGGACAACATGATGTTGGCTGGAATACAAACTCTCTGATAGCGAGGCTAATAAATCACCTCCCCCAGTTCCCACTGTAAGGCCCCTTTTCTACCCTCTTGTTGCTCACACTGGTGTAATCCACTGCCGTTCTTCCCAGTAACACATTCTTCTCACTTGTGTTTGTTTGTTACTAGAAAGCCGACCATGAAAAATGGGTAGGTTCATCAGTTTGTTCATCCATCATGTTGCCAGTGTGCATAACCGACCGCTAATCCGAGGGGCCGAACTTCAGGCACTTTCACTCAATGTGATGCTTATTTCTCGACTGTCATAGCTGCATTTGTTAAAGGGAAATCATCTAATCAATGAGGATGTGACTAAATTTGCATCAGAGTGTTGAATTAACTTTCTGGAAAAACATTTAGCTCACATTGGCTATCCTGGAAACTTTTAAAAGCCAGTGAAATTTAAAATATGGCAATCTTGAAATAGCATTTATTTTGTTTACATGAGTGAATGTGTGGCCTGACCCCTTCAGTTTGCAAATGTCCAAGCATTTCATATCGAAGGTTTGTTTCTTATTCATAATAGTCTTTTTTTTTCAGTTTAGCTGCACTTTTAAGAGAAGATTGTGGAGATTTAGTCAAATGAAAACTGTAAATGTAATTAAACTTCAAAATTGGCAGAGACGTCGGTTTGCTGTCTGGGAGTGTTGCTCTGTTTTCTCTGAGTTTGATCTTTTAACTAAAAGTCTGAAACATTGACAAGAGGAAATGTTCTAAAATCAATTCTGAATTCAGGGATTGAAAACATTATTTATCTAGTCTAGTTTCTGATTGTTCTAATTTTCAGAAAACATCTTAACAGAAAACAGTAAAAACTAAATGCAACATGAATGCTATGAAAAAAAGATTTAATGAATTATGTAGGGAAAAATGCATTTGGTGTAGTTGAGGAAGCAATTCAGGAATATTTGATTTGGTAATCCTGGAAATTAGGAAGAGATTGAGTAAGGATCCGGGAGATTAAGAAAATAAAGCCAACAGAATATTAGGACCGCACTAAAAAATTAATAAAAAAGAATAAAATGTATATTTTCAGAATAAACTAAAATAAAATTGTATGTTAATTTTTTAAATTTACTAATATGTTTTTATTCTTGGCTGGAGGAACTGAGCAAAAAATTGAATAAAGGAGGAAAGACAGGAATTAATATCCTGAATTTGCCATTTGTGGGGAAACAAAGGCTGAGAAAAGAATTGAATAAATAAGTGAATAAATAAACTGAGCAAACTGCAGAAACACTGAAAGGATGAAGTAAAGAATTGAAGAATGATTAATGTTGAAAAAGGAATTGAGCAAAGAATAAATGGGAATGAAATGAGAAAATTAAAGAGATTATGTAAGGGAAGCAGCTGAGGAAATAATTGAGGAATTGAATAAAAAGGAATGAGTAAGGAGTTAGGAGAAAATAGTTGAGTAAGTCACTGTTGAAGGATGAAAATGAGCAAGGAATAGGAGAAAAAGGGATTAAGGAAGAAAACAAGTACAGGAGCCAAGAGTTTGAAGGATTAGGATTAAGAATAAGAAAGTAATAGAAGATGATGCAGAAATAAAGGATTTATAGACCTAATTAAAAAAACTAAGCAGCTAAATAAATATCTGCCTATGAAGGTTGAGTAAATTGTTCTTGATTAGCATAAATCCGCATTTAAATGAGCTCTAGTTTTAGTTTTGACAAATTAATTTTAGAGATTTGAGTTTCCAGAGATGACCTTTATGACTTAATTAATGTTTGTTGACTGTAAAATGCCCTTTTCACAGAAGTCAATGCAGCTTTTAGCTTCAATATTTCAGTCCAGTGTTTCTGTGGATTAATTAATTTTAACACATTTCATTGATTTATGAATGATGGAGCTAAATAGAGTACACTTTGTGTGCAACAATGATCCAGCTAACTTACAACAAGCCAGGATCTTCATGTTCAGGATCGTGTTTTGCAGTAAGATGGCCGACGCGCATCTAAGGTCATAGCTGTGTGTCAAAGGTCACAGCAGTTCCTGGGAGCCATTTGCCAACATGGCAGCAGGCCTGGATTACATCCTCCTCTTCCTCTCAGCTGTGGCTTGAAAATTTCCCTGTCATCTTTTCATTAATTTTTTTTTTGTCTGTCCCAAATAAACCGCAAAGAAGAAGAATAAAAAAATCAGATAGGAGGAATTACCAGAGGGTTAATTTATGAACCACTTTAGGGCTAATCTTTTTTTTTTTGTCTTTAAAAATGTTTGAGGAAAAACAAACAAAACAGAAAAACAAACAAAACAGAAAAACAAAACTTAGATCACGTTTCAAACTTAAGGTCCGGGGGCCAAATCTGGCCCGCTGTAGCTTTCTATGTGGCCCTCTAGGCTCCAAATTACATCAATAATTTCCTCCAGTTTTTCACGAATCCTCAAAATTCACACAACACAACAGATCCCCACATTTTTTCTGGTCTTACTGCAAATGTTTATCAAAATTGGTCAAAAACATTGAGTTTAATTGACTGATGCCTCAGCCTTATATGGTGTCAAGTAATAAAAAGTCACATGTAACATCACACATTAGCTCTAATACCACAATAATTCCTTACAAATATTCATACATTATCACCACATTCCAAAAAACCCCACAAAAACAGTCAAACTCCTGGAGGAACAGCTATTTATTAATATTTTAACAGTTTAATGGCTTTTATCAACAGATTCTGGCACAACCAGATGAATGAAAAAACTCAATGAAAATGAGTTTGACACCCCTGCTCTAGGTAAACTAACAGCAGTTTCTCTGGATCCAAAGTTTGCTCTTTTATTTCTTTTTCGGGGTTGCTAAACAGAATAAGTACCCCAGGAGTTTCTCTGTATAAACTAATAAGACCTAAGCTTCAAATAAATTACATTTAATTACTTTGAAAGAAATTAGATGCTGTTTATGAGAAGCTTGGAAAAAAGAATCAAATAAGAAAAGAAGCAAAGTGTAGGAAACTTCTCAGGAGCTCCACTGGTTTAATTTTGTTCATTTCCCCCTGCTGCTAGAGGTTAATTAAAAAGGTAGGTGCTCCTGTTTGTGTTGTGATGACAGAAATCCCACTTCGTTCCTTCTTGCATAACCTTCCTCCACGTTTCCTCAGGTGTTTGGCAAGTGGATGTCGTACTTATTCTTGTTCATCACAAGAATGAGCCGTCTGAAGGCCTGTACACAGCAAGAACAGAGAAATTTGCTCTTTCTCCCAGAGATACAAGAACTAAATCACAGGTGTCAAACTCGAGGCCCGTGGGCCAAATCCGGCCCGCCACAGCTTTTTATGTGGCCTTCTAGATCCTAGACTAGACACTAAGCGTGTTTAAATATTGTTATCCATCAAATTCTTGTAGTTTTTATCTGTTCACTGCCAAATTATATCAATCAGTCCCTCCAGTTTCTTGAGAATTATCGTGCAAATTCATGCAAAAATCAACAAAATGAGCCAAAAACTGGGAGTTTATTGGAGATTTTTCTCAAAAATTATCAAAAGCTTTCTTTCTTGTACTAAACAGCTGCCTCGGCTTTAATTGATGTCAGATTATAATCCATGATCTATACAGAGAATAATAATAAGTCACATTTATCGTCATAAATAAGCTCAAATATCGCAAATATTTCCAAACACTTTGATTTTTCTAGCAAAAAGAATCAGAAAATCCAGGAGGGACTGAAAAGATGTTCAATAATATTATTTAATTTTAATAATTCATTGATATTTTAACAGTTTGAACAGGTTTTAAAAATATGTTCTGGCAGAGTCGGCCCTTTAAGAGCATTCAAGATCTTGATTTGTCCCAAAATGAAAATAAGTTTGACACCCCTGATGTATAATAAACATTAGAAATTATTCTGATCTCCTCCTGATAGAAATTATATTTTGTTTTTGCAGCTTTGGTTTTCTTTTCTTGATGCATATTCTGGGTAGAGCGTTTTTTCTTCTGTGGTGTCTGAACCGGTACGGTGGTACCGCTGGTGGGAGAAACCTGTGAAAACTTCCCAGGAGTTCTGCACTTGAATTCTTGTGAAGTATGAAATGTTTAGGCCGGAAACTGTTTGTTCTTCGGGTAAAAAGAACAAATTTCTCTGTTGTTGAGCAAGTGTTGGCATTAAGTGTGATCATGTGTTTGTTTTCATCTTTAATTGTGAGCATAGTTGTGTGTATTCTTGTTAGTTCCTCTATCTGTTGCTTGCACTTTGAAATAAGTACCAAAAATATAACCCCTTGAGTTTCAGACTTTACTCCAAAGACGTAAAGTAATGGCAACTCGGTTTTAATATCTCACACAAAGGTGAAGTGGAAGATATTAACTTGCAGTGTAAATGTTACAGTGGGGAGGATAAGCTGAGAGATTCTGCAGATTTTGTACGTTTGCTCACTTGACGAGAAAATAAGTTTATGGTAGCTTGATTTTGATGAAGACAGAATCAAAAATCAAGGAAATACACATTGCATGAGTTGAAGATGAATTTTCACGTCACTGGAGGAAGTAGGTATTGAAATCTTCATTGGCTGCGGAGCTAAAATATTTTCTGCAGGCGTTCAGAAGGTTTTCATACACATTAGGAAGGATTTGGTAGAAAATCGTTACTTATCACAACACAGATTATGTGTAGGATTGAGGTGGAGACCAGTGAAATACCTTAAAGTGATTCTTCTATAGCCAGTCATTTCTTTCTGGCTGAGAAAGAAAGGTTAGACAGATTCATTTGAAAAATCTGAATGTTTCCACCTCAGTGATAGACTGTAAGGATGGTGTTTTTGGGTCATACTAAGCATTCCTCAATGAGAAAAAAAAATACTTTATGAAGCTACAAATAGAGGGCAATCAATGGTTATTTTATTTTTCTTGCATTTTTAGATTAATTATCTCAAGGTTGTGCAGATCTGCCATCTTGTTCTTGATGTCCTGTTTGGACTTGCTGATGGTAGTGAAAAGGTAGAAATGGAAGAAATTAATTGTGTGAGCAGTTGTTTGTTTGCCAGTGGTAGAGAGTCAAATATTAATTTAACTCAACAAAATGTAAGTAACAAATTTAACTACATGTAATGTGTTCTTTCTGGATTTTTGCTTCATATTCTGTCTCCCAACATTAAAATATCATGGAAATTTGAGACTATTGTTGTTTGTGAGCAAAATGCAAAAACAATAGGGAATCAAGTATGGCTGCACAATATATTAGTGCAAGTTATTATTGCAATATCACTTATTTTATTGTCGTTGCACAAAGATACATCAGTGAAATTGGCAATAAAATGTCATTGCCGGAGCATGCATGCACACAAAAGTACAGAATTTACATGCTCCGGTGGAAAGGGAAAGAAACATTTCTTTATACCCCCTCTGAAGTTGTTTATAGCTGCATATTTCAACACCAATTATAGCTTAATATACGCTAAAACGCACAGTGGAAGCCATCTTGGCTCTACTGCATTCATATTCTTCTTTATATTGCTTTCTGGGGTTCAGCCAATCAGTAGCAATAAAAATAAATGCCCCTTCTGGATTGGCTGCTTTCCAAACCACAGCCAATAGAATGTCAGGTAGCATTGTGCGTCAACATATTGGCTTCTATCTAGATATCATCCACGAACAAATCCAAAAATGGGTGGATTTTCCACAAATAATTTGGACATTTGTTCCAGTTATTTAGTTAACAATCTTTATTTAATGCAACATAAATAGCTGGTAAGGTGGTAAAGTGGTTAAAAAACTTCAGCTAAGTTGATTTAATGCCAAAACAGCTGAGGAACTTTATTAATAAATCCTTGTTCCTCATTATTCAGGATCTGTGTTCGTAACTTTAACACTTTTCAGTTTTGTTTTTTTTTACTTTATCACTCGCTATATAGCAATCTTCACCAACTATAATATTGTGCAGCTCTACAACCAGCTTCCTGTTCCCCCTCTTGTACATCAACAGGACGTAGATTTTGGGACGCGCAGTGATGTTATGAATCTGTTTGTTGGCAGGCGGGTCAGGGAGGCGGACACCGGACCCTGCTCTACGGTCACGCCATCCTCTTACGTCACTCCTTCAGTGACATGGTGAGTATTTACACTAAAATGACGAAGATGGAGATAAATTGTACTTTGATAATTGTCATTCTGTTACTGTGGTTGTGTAACTGCTATTTTTGTTAAATATTGACTTTCTTTGAAACTCGGTCCGTTCCGCCATGACGGACGTCAAAATTATGCGCTCCAAAAAACTCTAGTAGCCTAATATCGCTTTTATTAAGTTGATTTCACAGTAAAAAAAAATGTCACAGGGTGCTGCGCGATCGACTGCAGAAAAAGAAAAGGGTGAAAACCAACCTTGTCATTTTATTGTATAACTTTAATGAGGAAAGACGGCTGTGATGGAGAGCAGCTGTTAATCATAATGACGTCAGCCCTCGGTGTAACCGTGGATTTGCAGCGGATACTTTTTACAAGAAGATTACCGGTTATATACTTTATAAGTATGTAGGATTCGAAAGATATGAAATATTGCATTACGGAGAATGTTCGAGTCTAACCATTGGTAACCATGGAGACAGTGCCGCACCGTCATGTAGCCTAGCATATGGGAAAAAACTGGTTAGCATGTCGTCTTCTGTGCGTTTTTAATGCTGCTTCGGTGTAAAGGGAAGCGCTGTTTATGACTTAGTGATATAAATCATGTAGTGTGAATTCAGGCAAAGTCGGTAATTTGATCAAAACGTCAGGAGGGAGGAGGTATGGGTCGGTTTCTAAGCTAGCTATGTCCAACTTTTGTAAATATCACCATCTATGAGCCTCAACCAGGTGTGTTACGTTCACAGACAAATAAGCTTCATTCAAACAAATAGAAGCCATGAATAAACTGGCAAAAACAACTTTGGAAAACAATTTCAGTCGCTCTGTTCAATACTCCCGATCCTCACTTCAGACGTCCATCATGGCACCTCGAATGATTAAGTGATGTAGTTGCAGAGTCAATACAAACAATTCAGATAAATCTATTGCATATAAAGTGATAAAGTTCTTGAGACATTTTGTATTTCTTTTTGTATTCAAAATTACAAGAAAGTCAGACTTTCTTGTAATCTGTTAAAATGGTCTCAAGAAATATTTCCTTTCATAATCTGAAAGTCTATAAAAGTTTTCTTTTAGATTTTGTTGCTTTTTACTCAGTTTTTGTCCATGATAATTTTCAAAGGACATACTTTTTATGACTAGTTTATTCAGAAACTTGGTTACTGAGTTGATTTAATTGACTAATAAATTAATACACTTATTATTCAGCACTAAGACTTCACATTCCTTCTTCTAAAACATTAATATTTTTCCAGTTTGCATTAGAGCTCCATTTCCTTTGACCCAACACTAATTCATTTTTCACTCACCAGTACTTGACCTGTTTGAAGACATCAAGGTCTCTGACAGACAAGCTGTCATTTGATGTCGGACTGCAAGAAGATTCAGTAGGTACAGTATGAATAATGAACACTCAACCAATATGAACCAGTTTGTATTAACCTTGAGATTAAGTAAGTACTGGATATGATTGAAATATAACTCTACGTGCTGTGAAACATCTGCACATCTTACCCTCTCTGATGTTTTTGAATAATGGGAGATGTTAAAAGATTCCACCTGATCAACATATTTCTGTGTTTCTGCCTTTAGGAGAAGCCTGCTGGTGGACTATTCATCCGGCGTCCAAGCAGAGATCAGAAGGAGAGAAAGTCCGCATTGGAGATGATCTGATTCTCGTCAGCGTGTCCACTGAGAGATATCTGGCAAGTCACATTTTTAAAACTCACCCGAGGAAAGACTGTAAAGCTTTAAATACACTCTGCTGAATGTTACCAGTACCTTGTTGAATCTATGCCATGAAGGATTAAGACAGAAGGAGGCCCAACATGGTACTAGCAAGGTGTACCTGATAAAGCATCCACTTTATTTATATATACACATATATACATGCATACTCTGGTTCTAGACTGATCCAAGCTCTGATCAGTCTAGCTCCAGCTAACATCAGAGTGACAAGACAATTTAAGTTGAAAGCAGCATACCTTTGCTCTGCTACCTGAGCTGGAAACCAGATTACCTGTAAAACACCTCTATGCATATTAAAAACAATTTGTGATGTACTTACTCATCTGACAGATGGGTTTAAAGTTAATGCTGTCTCCTAAGCTCAACTCCACACCTGACCCCAATTAACTTGCTCTGTGAAAGTGGAGAGAGGGATTTCAGAAGGGAGAGCTGGAGGCAGAGAGTGAAATTGCCTAAAGGGAGCCACTGTGACGTGCTAAGCATATGAAACTTTTTTAGAAATACTTTATGCTGGGTGCTCTAATCGCCTCCAGTGATGAAGGTACTGAATTATAGCAAAACTGGCAAAAATCCAGACTTTTATCTCTTCTGCACGGACATAATCAGTCAGTTCAGGAATGTCAAAACTGACTTCTAAAAATGCAATTATTTGAAGAGTTTTTTTGGAATCCAAATTATTCTGATTTGCTTTGTCAAGTTAAATTACTCAGTAAATGTTTTTCTTTTCTGTAATTTTTGAGAAATTCAGAGAAATTTAGTTGTCTTCTCCTTAAGCACTTACGACTTGCATATCTTGGTTGACTGAGAATCTATACCAGCATATAACCTAAAGATTTTTACTGGTTTGCACACTTGATCCAGTCACTGAATATGTTTTCCTTTATTACTGTATATATTTTAATATCTGAGGGTTTATGAAAAGAGAGATTGAAAAGTTGTCAGCTGAATCTATTCTGCTTTTACATGCGTACCCTGCTGTGTTCATTACAAATAAACCATTTTTACTCTTCATAGCTTTAGCATGAGAAATACTAACAAAATACACACAAAAAAGAATCAAAAAGCAAAATAAAAAAGTAAGTAAATTGCCATCATGAAGGTTTCAATCAGATGTCAAATATTTATACACTGCAAAACACAAATTTTAACCAAATGTTTTTGGTCAAGTTTCCAGAGGAAATATCTTACTACATTGAAATAAGACAAAACTAAATTAAAAGTAACTTTTCTGCTTGTTTTAAGTCAATTGATGGAAAAAAAACATACTGGTTCCAGTGGCAGATTATTTAACTTATAAAACATTTTCCCATGTTACAAGTGAAATAATCTGCCACTGGAACTAGTACTTTTTCATCCATTTTAAGGAATTGTTTCTTTACATAAAAGAAGCTCCAGTGTGTTGCAGAAAAGCTATTTCTAAGAGTACAAAGATATTTGTACTGAAACTAGATTTTGTCTTTTTGCAGTGTAACTTTCATTCATTCTGTTTTTATTCCCTTTTGAATCTTATGTTTTTACTTAGTTTAAGATTTTCTGCAAAACTATTCCACGGCTTAACCCCAGCAACCGAGATGCACATACTTTTCTGGTGACGTCTTAAACACCTCTAGGAAAATATTCTGTGAACTAAGTGAAATTTTCTGTTAAATCTGGTATACAGCATTTCAGATCAGACTGACGGTAACATTTGGTGGAAGTGTGATGGTGCTGCTTTGCTGCTTCAGGGCCTGAATGACTTGAATATTGCTATGAATAATGCATAAGTAAAGCTAAATGTAATAGATTGTTTTGTCTGCAGCAGTTGTCTTCCGTTCTATCTGAAGTCCTGCTTAACCTGCTTTTCTGTTTCAGCATCTCTCGAACTGTAACGGCAACATTCAGGTAGACGCCTCCTTCATGCAAACCCTCTGGAACGTCCAGCCTACGTGTTCGTCAGGCAGCATGGCTGTAGGTGGGTCCTTCATCCTCCATCAATGACAGCAGCAATCTTAGGCTGCATTCACACTGCAGCCTGAAGTGACCCAATTCCGTAGTTTTTTTTTTTTTTTTTTTTTTTTTTTTTTTTTTTTTTTTTTTTTTTTTTTTTTCAAAACAGGCCCCCGTTCTTATTTTTTTCTCCCCGTGCCAAA